ATCCTTTCCTCTATTTCTGCCAGCTGTAATGCTTGGCCGGTAAAAAATGACACTTCAGAGGATAGGAAGTTTATTTTGTGGTTGTTGCACAGTATAATGCGAAACTTGGTATGTTAAGTCTTGCAAGTGTCATCTGCTCTATTAGCTCAGTTGGTTAGAGCGTGGTGCTAATAACGCCAAGGTCACAGGTTCTGGGACAACTAAAATGGGCAGAAAAAATTTCACCCTCTCAGAAAAAGGCCCCAGAAAACGAATGCGATTGGGCAAGAAACAAACAAAGAAACGGGCTCTGGCCAATCAGACAACGCCGATGGCTTCTGGAAGGACGACGTGAAGGACAATGAGGATGGCTGGTGAGTAGAAAGTCATCGACGCTCCACCACCGCAAAACTGACCCTTTCACACAGCAAAAAGCAGTTCGCTCTGGGTACAGCGCAGATGAAGCATCGCTCGGCACATGTCATTGACCTCACCGGATTCGACGACGACGACGGCGATGAAGACGGCGCTGACAACGGGCAACGAAGTCCAGCGAAACGACTGCGCACCTGTCAAACCACCACCGGCACCACAACTACCATCGACTTGACAAAGGACGACGACGACGACGACGAGATTGAGAACAACGGTGCCGAAGTACGTCCAAACCCCAACAGACAAATGCTCCTTCGTTCGTTCCCTCGCGCACTTCCTTCATGCGTCCTTTGGATTGCTCCCTTCTTCTTTTCGCGTCTTCTCGCAGCGACGAATGCTTACATTCGTCCTCGGGAAACGGATTTGAAGTTGGTGGCAGAGTCAATCCTGTTCACTCGCGCTGTTGCCATCTCTCGTCTCCAAGTCTGAACACAGCAGCTGGTATACTAACAATATTTGAAAAAGGCGGCTCCGAACTCAAGTTCGTGTCCAAGCGGTGTCGTATTCATTGACGAAGACGAATGGGAATCGCTGCCGGAACCTCTCAGCGACGAATACTGGAAAGCTGAAGAGACATTCTTTGCCGAATTAGAAAGGTTTGGACTTGCTTCTTTGATGGGTCTGAGTTGACACAGAATACATAGTTCGGATTCTGATACAGACGTAGGACTTCCCAACAGCTCATCCTCGTCCAAAAACCCGCCTTCTGTCTTTCCACCAACTCCGTCAAAGCCGTTTTTGTCGTCAAATCTCAAGAAAATTCTCCGAATGAAACGAAAAGCTGAACTTCGGGAAATCCTCCTTCAACTTGGGGACTTCTCTGCTGCAGCAAAGATTGTATGTCTGGAACAGAAAGTCGAGGCTGTGGTTTCAAAGTTAGAAGGGTGTCAGTTTGTTGTCGAGAACGGGGTTGTAGTGTTTGCGTTTGACGTTGGAATCAAGAACCTTGGATGGGTTATTGTAGTCCGAACAGGGGAAGGATCTATTGAATTACTTAAGTCGGGATGCTGTGCGATTGTAGCAACGACTGCCGGCATCAATGCGTTGGAATTGGATGAACTGGTTCGTGAAACTATGGAGAGCATTATTGGTCAGTTGCCTGACAAGTATGCTGGTATTCCTCGTCGGTTCTTAGTGGAGAGACAGTCGTTGCGTCCACGATACAATCCACGTCTCAAACGGTGTTTAGGCCCACCCATGGATTCAGTTCGAAATAGTATTGTAGAGCATGTTCTTACTTCAGTTCTCAACGGGTTGTTTCGGAGGTGTGTTGTAAATGTCGATCCTTGTCATGTCGGGAGCCATTGGAAACGTCTGCACCCTGATTTGATGAAGAACATTGTTGTCCGCAACCGGGATTCCTCCGAAGAATATAAGCAGTATATAATCAAGAAAGGGAATGCCATAAAGTTGGTTGAAGAGTTGTCACAATCTCGGGATATTACTGGAATGGGAGACTTGGTAGCAGATGCAAGACGTAATCATCACGTCTGTGATGCCGCTATTATTGCTGTGGCCTGGTTGGATTGGGTGGATGCTGCTCTTAGATTCTCACTATAGAGCATTTATTGAAATAAATGTCAGCTTTGTAACTAATGGTAATACATAAATCTTGAACGAGGAGGTTTCCCCGTCTTCGTTTTGATGTCAGTTAACACTTTCGACGCTGTAAAACCTGTTCCGCGAAGGTATCCAAAGAATTCTTCAACGTCGCTTTTGGAGGCAAAAGGAATTGGCAATGTCGCAGTCTTCGCTCCTTTCTTCTTCGCTGCCTTTTTAATGTCCCTCATCTTGTTGGCACAAAGTTCCTGGAACTTGAAGCGAACCGTTTCGTTTCCAAAAAGGAATTGAACGCCCATAACGAATTCTCCCCCTGTTGCACTGAATACCTCCTTGTACTTCTCCATCATAACAAACTTAAGGCAACGGTCGTACGTATCTTGGCTTACTGGTTTCAGGTGACGGCGATTAATCAACTCCCCAACACATGCACCACATGCACCACAAGGATCACAGGTTTCTTCGAAGTACTTCAAAAGTTGCTGCCACCAACATGTTGGCTGTTGAAAGAAGTCTTCCATGAGTGACGCAGACTTTGCTCGATTTTCGTACAGCTCATTGTAGCGACTACTGATTTCTTCCGCAACTTGAGCTTTATCCTGAGCTGTAAGAGCGATAACAGCGGGAGTATGGTCGTAATTGGAAAGGTCTTTGTTCTTGAAACCCTTGAAAGTAATCATTCCCTTGTTGGCCAGTTGAACAAGAACCCATTGAATAATAAAAGTATCTTTTTCATCACACGGAACCGGCGTCAAAACCTTTGGAACTTGAAGTAGTTTGCTCACAAGATCTGTAAGATCTTTTGTTGGTACTTGATAGGATAAAATCAAACTTGAAACAAGACCAACATCGTCGGAACAGTAGAACGTTTGGCAAATGGACTGGACACCATCTCGACCAGCGCGACCAATTTCTTGACTGTA